GGAGCAGCGCTTGACAGAGAGGATTCGAGCTTGAAGAACGTTCTAAACGGGTTGAAGATTTCGAGGAAACGCGTTCTCCTCAAGTTGGTGCTCCCAACGCGTCGACTTTGTCAAATTCATGGCCCATTACCCTCCTTCGGTCTGTCGTCTTTCGTGTATTCGGCTACAAGACGTTTTCGTTCCTCTTTTCCAACCCTAATCATTCCACCCCCACCCCCTCCTCCTCAATCCCCGCTCAAAGAAGACCCTGCCGCGACTGGGAAGCCCGACGCGATCTGTACCTGTCAAAAGGTGGACGGGGGGGGGTTACTTGTGCTCGTGGGTATTGGCGCGTGTGCTGTTGTGTTGAAGTTGCTTGTGAGGAGGTTGACTGGGTTTGGGATATGGAGTTGGTTGAGGAGGAGGAGCATGCGGTAGTATTGCTGCTTGAATGGCCGATTTTGGGCCTCTGGGAGATGCCTTGAACAGGTTTATGACTTTTATGACTTTTACGACTTTTTCACGATCTCTTTTTGACTGATGCTGACGAGGAATTGAATAAATGAACGCGCGCGTATGCGAGCGTTTTGGTTTTTTTGTTCCTGTAAATATCTCTGATATAGTTAGTTATACCTTATGTATCGCTTGAATCTTTGAGCAGGACTGAACATTTGCAATTGAAAGCTTCAACAATCAGCGATGTCTGCTTGGTTTTTCGTAATCAATTCCTCGTTTCTCGTGTTACATGTTAACAAATCTACGGGACCGGTACGTCGACCCCTTCTGAGCCTAAATCCTGACATATTTCCATTCCGAAAGCATACACTCTCTCCAATGTTCACCAATCAGATAAATTGAACATAATCTAGCAAACGGTGGATATCAAATACTCCGACAGAGGGACGAGACAACTTACTCGACATCACAACTACCGAAGAAAATCAATAACCACCTAGTGACCCAAAGGTAAATTGGAGACTCACAGCCTTTTTCACCCTTGGAATTAATCGCCATGTATCCTGTATAAGAGCCTGTTCCGACAAACCGTCAACAAACTGGTGATGAAGCAGAAAAGGAAAAAAAATACCGCTGTTGAGGGAATGAACTTTGGAGACACTAACTCCATCCGTGTAAACGATCTCATCTTTGGTTATTGATAGCCAGGCGGAATCCTTTGCTTTGTAGTCTGCGGTGGGATACTATAGGATGAGAATTGGATTATCTCAGGAACTGTTACTCACCGCCACCATGAGTTAATTGAGCGCGTTTCGTAAAATTTGAATCTGGTCCATTTGAAAAAGCACGGTTTGTTGCCGCAGTGTCTAGGGGATATTTGCCGAGCGCCTTACCTGGTGTAGGCTTTGGTGTAGGCTTAGCCTTTTGATCCGCTGCTGTATTGGTGGTTGCATTGACAAGGGCTACGTGATCGCGTTTATCACTGCCCGGATAATCGTCACCTTGGAAGGAAATGATGTCGGTGTCGTTCATGGCAGCATCACTATCCGTGTCTTGGAAGAGTTCCATATCCTTGTAGAGTGCATGACCCGGCGTGACAAGGCCTTCAACTTTTGCGATGCGTGCTTTCAAAGACCCAGCGGTGTGAGGGGGAGCGATGGAGAGGGTGTTGATGCGTCCTAACGAAATATCGCTTTCGTCAAAGGATGTCTTTGCCTTTGCTTCTCCTTCGCTTTCTGATAGGTAAACACGATAGTATACTGTAAAGCTGATGATGAGTGCAGTATTTAGGTAGGAGACATGCACAAGACTTGCCGTAGTGGATGTCAGTATTATCAGAGCATTCCGGCAGCTGGGTCTCCGATTGCGAGGCCTCCTTGGTCCGCTTCTCCGACTCCACAACCAGCGCGATCGGATCTAGTTCGGACAGGCCTGGTCCAGAAAGAGCGTTCAAAGAAAGGCGGGTAGAGTCTTCTTTGGGTGCTGGGCTTGAGAGCGGTGCGAAAACAAGTGCCTTGTCGGGGTCCAAAAGGCCCTCAAGTTTGCAGAGGGACCGCTTGATAGACGCCACAGTATGAGGAGGGGCAAACAACTTCGACGGAATGCGGCCAATGAAACGGTCGTTCTGGTAGAGGGTGTGATTTGATTCAAATGCACCGAGTTTGGTGTATAGACGGTAATATACTGCATGAGTAAATTAGGCCGGCAGTAGAGTTTTCGGGATAGCGACGTACCATAGGTAGGACCTGTCCTTTTCGTTGACTTTCCATCTTTAGATGCTGAATCTGTACCCCCTTTGCCGTCTGAAGAGGCAGTGGAGCTGGACGTATGATCGCGACCAGGGAGAGTAAACATCGCCATTTCCAACCAGAACCTGTGAAATATCAGCAAGATGGACGATTGGAGGAAAGAGTTACCGGACACGCCTGCGGCCTTCAAAGTTCATCGAGCACTGTCATGCATCATGCATCGGCGCTTATCCATCAACCGTGCCCTCGCTGCCAGAGCACGTAGGATGTTCTCAACAAGTAGCTCCGCCTTCCCTCCTTCCAGCCCACTCTCAAGCTCTCAACTTGGGGAGCGCAAGTTCATGAGAAACCACCATTATATGGGGGAGAGGTGGAAATGGAGGTTGATGATACAGTTCCGATGGTGCGTTGGGAGGAAGAGTGTGGTTATTGAGGAGAGGTGGAA